ACGTGATGTCACCAAAATTGATAAATTGTAAAAAAATTACAAAATGTCGCTTTAAAAGATACATAATACGCATGCGGAAGGCATGGAACAGGTACGTCAAACGAATACTGAAATTGTTACAGATAAGTAAGCAACAAGAATATCAGTACGAAAACAAACATCATTGTACAGTAAATAATAATAAATAAAAATATCAACCAAGGATCACCGGGAAGATTAACGAAATATATATCGCCACACCTGTTTGCAGCTGCAGATCCCACACGGAAGAGATTGCACAAAATTAATTCTGGAAATACTTTTTTGACTTCTAATGTCAAAAATTAGGTCAATCTAAAAAAGGTTTTTAGGAGATTCCTGAATTTTTTGTTTGAATATGGAGGAAAACTCTAAAAAGGATGGAGCTAATGAGGAAGTGGAGAGTGTGGTCTCACTGAGTGAAAAGGGATTTTGTACAGAGGAAGTTTTGAAACTAAAAGATTATACCATTTCGATTCAAGAGAAATTAATAAAAGAATTGTACGAAAAGATAGACCAATTAAACAAAAAAATTTGGAAAATGCAACAGCCGTCACAAGAAGCAATTACAACTTACGCTAATATGGTTAAAGCTTCAGGGCCTTCAACCGTTAATTCGCCTACAAAAATGGTAGAATATGAGCAACAATGCGTACCATTACAAACATGTACAGCAAAAAAACAATCAACAGTATTAAAACCCACAAATACAGTCATTGTTAAGCCTAATAACCAACAAGAGTGTAATAACACAAAGAAAGACATCGCAAAATTTGTGAATCCTACCAGTTTGAAAATTGCTATTGAAAAAGTTTATGAATTGAAAGATGGTGGGGTGAAAATCGAATGTAAAACAAAAGATGATAACGCGAAGCTACATAATGAAATAAAATCAAAAATGCCAGAAACATATACAGTGAAAACTTCAGAGATAAGTAAAAAACCACAAATCAAAGTTATTGGATTTTGTCAAGAATATGCAGAAGACGAGCTAATAAATACTATAAAATCACAAAATGAATCTTTTCAAGAAAATTCACATAGAGTAATTACAGTCAAGAAAATGAAAACTAAATATCAAGCAATTTTAAAAGTGGATGCTGTGACTTTTAAGTGTGTTATGAATCAGGGTGTTATTTTTATCGACATGTCTGTTTGCTCTGTTTTCGAGTACATCAATGTTTTGCGATGCTATAAATGTACCGGATTACCACAAAGCTAAATACTGCACAAAATCAGGAAGATGTCTTACTTGTGGATTAGAAGGACATTCAACAGAAAACTGTAGTACCAGTGAAATGTACAAATGCTGTCCAAATTGTAAAAGTGCAAACCAGGATTTTAATCTAGGATTACCTATTAATCATGGACCATTTGACAAAAATGGTGAAGTATATAAAAGGAAAATTGAACGTGAGAGGGAAAAAATTAATTATGTAAATGAATAGCAACTACTAAGCTCAGATTTGCAAGACGTGGCTAAATCTGTAAGTGATGAATATAACTCAATATACCATTTAAACATACAAGGAGTCCTGAATAATATAGATGAAGTTCAACAGTTTTTAAGAAAGAGAAAACCACTTGTATTATGTCTTACCGAAACACATGCTACAGAAGACATCACTGATGGTGAATTACAAATTACTAATTATAAAACCTACAGATGCAACTCCAACTCCAGACATACTGGAGGTGTAGTGATTTATGTTTACCACAAAATACAGATCACATTATTCGATTGTACCACTTTAGACTATGCATACTGGTATGCACATATACAGTTCAAATTATTTGGGAAACGTTATGATCTTTGTACTTTTTACCGTTCACCAAACAGTGATGCAGATACATTTTTAACGTTTTTTGAAGAAAAATGCGAAGAAATGTGGAATTTTAGAAACAATATAATACTTTTAGGTGATTTTAATTTAAATTATTATGGTAAAAGCATGAAAACAAGAAAATTGAAAGAAACCATAAACAACTATGGGTTCAAGCAAAAAATTGAAGAGAGTACCAGAATAACATCATTATCAGATACTTTGTTAGATCTTGTTATTGTGAATTTCGAATGTGCAGGGATTAAAGCTGTACATACACCTAAAGTTAGCGATCACTGTTGGACAATGCTGCCCTTGGTAGGGCATTTTTCTGATACAAAAATTAAGAAAATCGTAAATACTATTAAGTACGAAAAACTTGAACGAGAACTTGCTGGCTGCTATTGTAATTTTGGTGAGAATATGGAAAAAATATATGACAACATAATAGGAAATATAAAAACTTGTTTAGATCTTGCAACTGATCAAAAAGTGATTTGCTCGACAAAAAATACACCCTGGTATAACAAGAATATTAAGGCAGCTCAAAATTTGAGAGACAAACAATACAATAAATGTATATTCACAAAATCAAATGATGATTGGGAGGTATATAAAACTCTTAGGAATAAATGTGTATATGTAATTAGAGAAGAAAAAAGAAAATTCTACGATAAACAAAACGATAATAACAAGTGCGACAGTGTAAAGATGTGGAAGACATTAAAAAGACTGATCAATTCGAAGCCGCATGATTGTGTAAATCACGTTCAATTCGAAAACGGTACTGACACAAATTCTTTGGTGATTGCAAACAAACTAAATGAATATTTTGTGGAAAGTATTGTTGATATTGTAGGTACTGCCAATGCTGCACCTGACTATATGAAAATCAGTTTCCAGGGAGAAATGTTGCATACACTTTCAAAATTTCACAGCGTATCATTGAATTACCTAAGAAAAAAAGTAAACAGTTTAAAATCAAATAACAACTGTGCCGAAATGACTACTAAAAACGTGCTGAAAAACTGTTTCGAAATTTTGGGATATCCTGTATTAAATTGGATCAATTGTTCACTGAGAAGCAGTTCTCTCCCTGAAAATTTGAAATGCTCTACAATAACACCAGTTCCCAAAATAAAAAATTCTAAAAGATGCAGCGATATGAGACCAGTAAATGTGTTACCAGACATTGAAAAATTATTAGAGTCCATAGTACATGACCAATTAATGCAGTTTATAGAAGAAAACAAAATTTTAGTGGAGGCGCAAGCAGGCTTTCGAAAAAAATATTCCCCAGAAATAGCTTTCCAGTTGGTAACTGAGAATTGGAGAAGAGCCATAGACTCAGAAGAAGTTGTCATAGCAGTATTTTTGGATTTGAAGAGGGCATTTGAAACGATTGATAGAGATATTTTGTTAGGTAAATTGAAGGCATATGGTATAACAGGAAGTGTTTTAGATTGGTTTAGAAATTATTTGTCTAAAAGGATGCAAGTTACAAAAGTTAATGACACTATTTCATCAAAAATTGAAAATTCGTTGGGTGTTCCACAGGGCAGTATCCTGGGACCACTTCTTTTTATTTTATACATAAATGATTTACCTGCCATAGTCAAAAAATGCAAAATTCAAATTTTCGCCGATGACACTATGATTTATATAAGTACTAAAAATATTCAGTCTGGTATCTCTTATATAAATGAAGACTTGAAGCTTGTCTCAAAATGGTTAGCATCTAACAGACTAAAATTAAATGCAAGTAAAACGAAAGCCTTGTTAATCGGAAAAAAACAATGTACAAATGTTCAACTGAATATTTATGGTGAAGATATTGAATTCGTAGAAAATTTTAAATACCTGGGAGTTTTTGTTGACTCTCGATTAATTTTTGATATTCATTATGAAAAAGTTATAAATAAGATTAGTAGTAAAGTGGGATATTTATCGAGAGTTTCTGGATGTCCGAGTTCATATAGCAGAAAAATTATCTATAATACCATCATTCTTCCAAATTTCTTGTACTGTTTGACTATTCTATATTTAGCAAATAATTCCATTTTTGAAAGACTGCAAATTTTACAAAATAAGTGCATGAGAATAATACTAAATAAAGATAAATATACTCCAATTATGCAAATGCTTAGCAAATGTAAAAAATTTTATCAAATATCTTGTAATGATATTCATTTATAAAGTAAAAAATAATATATTTCCATCAAGTCTAACTAATTTAACATCATCAAATGTCGACCATCATTTACATAATACCAGAAATAAAGATGACTTCCATTTAATGACCAAAAAGTATAACATATGCTACAAATCTGTATTCCATCAAGGGTTGATTGAATATAATAAATTATACTCGGAGATAAAAGACCAGAAAGCTTTGACAAAATTTAAAGTAAAATTGAGAAATCACTTGTTAAATCTACAATTATAGGTTGCCCAGCATTTACTTCATACACCATATGGCTTGAATTTACTAGTTCTAAGTTGTTTACAATTGTTCTGTTTATGTAGCCAAATATGCTAAATAAATCTTTCTACTACTACTACTACTATCTACGAACAAGACTGCATGCTCCCTGGTATGTATCTAACGCGACCATTAACCATGACCTGGGTACTCCTTTCTTGTCTCAATTCATTGAGCAAATTGCAAGCAAAAGTTACGAACATGCAACTTCACATTCAAATCCTTTAATAAAAGATGCGGTGACATATGTTCCAGCATCCGTTCACAAACAAAATAGCACTTCTTTAACAATCTGATCTTCTAAAACCATGAATTATTCTTTAGTCCTCTACATTGACTGCTTTTTTCATATAATTTTCATAATCGCATAATCTATATTTGGCATTTTTTTTGTTAATGAGATTCGCTTTTGTCCCAGTTAGAACCTCAGTAATTTTTGAGCAAAGGGTCCCCGGCCTACCCTTATGAGTAGAAGAAGTCAAGTTAAGTCATGTCCGTGAAAACACTATTATTCCCAAGGTTTTTAGAATGTGAAGAAAAGCACATTTTTGACTTTCCAGAGGGATTACTTTGTTCTATTTCCGAACTCCGAACTCATGGAACGCTAAAATTGTTACAGGGTAGTACAATTGTAATTGTAACAATTTATGAACGCAGCCTTGAGAGTCAAATGTCATGTTGTTTTGGATTGTCGACGTTGTTCTTTGCTTACCGTGTATATATCATGTTATGTTTTGTGTTGAATATTCTTGAAAATAACCAAGTCTCCTGTCGATAGCTATGGATTGGAACTTCGAAACACTTCGGTCTGAATTAAAAGATACCCTACAGAAATCCTTTAAAGGAAGGAATATCGATATCCTCGAACAGAAAACCAAATTCATAGCCAAAACAAACGTAGATGTTAAAACCTCTTTGGACCAAACCTTCCGTGATGTTCTACTGCAGTTACTCGAAGAACAGGCTGGTGTGGCTACCCTTCAAGAGTTTGTACAATTTTCCATCACATCATGTCGCCACAGCTTGAGTTCTAGTACCTTACCTGTTATCCTTTTGGGAGATATCTTCGAAACAGTGACATTAGATACATGTGAAAGCATGTTTACTTTCGTAGAACAAAATGTGAGCATTTGGAAAGAAGAGATGTTCTTTACTGGATGCAAAAACAATCTTTTGAGACTCTGCAATGATTTGCTGAGAAAGTCATCGCGAACTACAGCAACAGTATTTTGTGGAAAAATTCTGTTGTTCTTGGCCAAGTTCTTTCCCTTTTCTGAGCGATCAGGATTGAATATAGTTAGTGAATTTAATTTAGAGAATGTTACGGAGTATGGTATAGATCCTGTTGAGGATGCTACTGCAGAAGTATTATCAGGCAAAGAAAAGCAAGTCATTGACTTCACGTTTTACTGTAAATTTTGGCAGCTGCACGATTTTTTCAGAAACCCAAATCAATGCTATAACAAAATTCAGTGGAAAGTGTTTACTTCACATTCAATGAATATTTTGAATACCTTTCAAGGCATAAAACTGGACTATGTGACTTCAGTTAATGAAGGCTACTTTCCAAAGTACCTAACTAGTCAGAAACTACTAGAATTACAGCTGTATGATGTGAACTTCAGGCGATCTGTTTTACTACAGTTTCTCATAGTATTTCAATATCTCACCTCAACAGTAAAGTTTAAATCAGACAGTTTTGAGTTAAAGAGTGATCAAAAAGAATGGATCAACAATACCACAGAGAAAATTTACAGTTTATTAAGAGACACACCTCCAGATGGTGAGAAGTTTGCACAAATTGTGAAACATATCTTGAGTAGAGAGGAGCTTTGGAATGCATGGAAAAATGATAGTTGTCCTGAAATGAAGAAAGTCAATTTAGTTGCTGGAACTGAAAAAAGAAAGGTAAGCATCTTTGTATCTGTACTTTTAAGAATGCATCCAGTATTCTGTTTGTAGGGTAAATGTGCCATTGGTTGCACAGTTTAGACATAAGTGGAGTACAAAGTGTAATGTGTAGTGTAACTAATGCTTTTGGGGGTGATCATATATGTTGTTAACTTTTCTCCAACAAAAACATTGCTTATAGATATTCCTGTAATTTTATAAAAAAAAATTTTAAACAAAAAGTGTTGTTTTGCCAGTACTCAGACAGAATGTGCTACTACAGTATATTCAGATAAGAGATAGACCGGAGATAAACAAGACCACGTGATCATCGAACGCTGTAACATTCGGCAGGAACGTATTAAGAGTCACGCAGTACATATTTTAGATAGTAGATGCTGCTTTGCGTAACTTTGTAGTAAATTAGCACAATTCGATGTGTATACGATTGGTGATGGATATAGGATCATGTGGGGGTGGGGTAAGAAATATATAATGATGTAAATATACATAAGGGTTTCAAAATTTTCGCTTCGATTTCCAGCTTCGGATGCCGCCTGATGTTTGGTGAAATACATTTGAATATAATCTCAAAATGGCGTTTAAATTAGCCTAAATTAAAAATAATCGTATATCTCTTAAAATTGCTTTTAGAATATTGATTAGTATATTTTTTGATTTCTAGGTAAATATGTAACCAAATTAAAACGTTCAAAACGTAAAAAAATGTGCATGGTTGAACATTGTCAGAAAGTAGATTCTTGAATAGGTTTTGCCAAAATGGGTTCAAAAATGTCAATAATTAATTAAAAAATACAGTAGCTTTATAATTACTTATAACTTACCGAATTTGATGAACGACATCTTTTATTGGAAAGATGAGCTTGATGAGCTTTCATCATCGCTACTGCCTGAAGCACCAACGTCAATAATGAATGGCTCGACTTGTTCCTCTAAAATATTGTCCAGTTCCCACATTCTCTTTTCAACTTTGTCTTTCACGTGCTTAATACAGTTTTCCCATTTTTGCGCTGTTATTAATTCTAGTGCTTCTTTGAAAAGTCCTTTGAGGTCACAAAATTTAAAAGTTGTATTGTGCTTAGCTATATAATTTTTAACCTCTGCCCATATGAGCTCAATGGGATTGAGCTCGCAATGGTATGGAGGTAAACGGAGCACAGTTTTATTTTGACTTGCTGCCATTTCGTCAGTGGCGTATTTTTGATATTCCGCCTTGTGATCCTTGACAATTCTTAATAATTGTACTTTCAGCATTGCTTCTTCAAAGTTGATATTTTTCGAGCGGAGCCAATTTTGAACATCAACTTTCCTTGAAGCCGTTGTTGGGACCTTCTCCATTCTTCGAGAATGATAAGGCGCATTATCCAACACAATGACTGCGTTTTCCTCTAAGTTCGGTAAAATTTTTGAAAACCACTGTTCAAGCGATTCGCCATTCATTTCCTCGTGGTAATCTCCAGTTTTCTTAGACTCAAAGCACCACAGACCGTCAACAACAAATCCATCCTCACTGCCAATATGGCAGATAATGAGCCTTTTCCCTTTACCTGGAAATCGAAGTACTAACTGGTGTAGATTTATTTCAATAAGCGAACCTTTTTCAAATGTTTTCATCACATTCAGCGAAAAAACATTGAGACATGAGTATCAGATTGCTATAATTGGGATTATTTAGTCATATTGAAAGAAAGAATATTGAACGTCGTATGATTACTCAGCGCTTCACAATTTAATTTAAAGTTATAAACCTTTAAAAAATGAATGATCAGGAACCTGAAATACGCGCAAATATTAATATTAACAAGTTATAACTTTATAAAGCTTAAAGTATGAATTAAAATGATTAGAAATATTAAGAACGGTACACAATATAAAACTTAGTAACTTTTTTTAAGTTTATAATATTCGACATATTTTAAGATTATATTAAAAAATTATTGAAATATCGAAAACACATAAAAACATGGCTTAAAAAAGTTCTAACAAATGAAAATGACAATAAAACATCCACGCATTTTATCGAAAGTTATAAAAGTTTTGTTACTTGTAATATGTTTTATCTGCCCCCTGGAATTAATGTTTAGAACCTTGTTCCCAAGGTTTGAAAAACATCCGATTGTTGTCTATTACTCGTATTTACCTGCTGGATTTTTTAATCCGGTGGACAGTCCATCTAGAAAGGCCCTCCTGGATGAAGTTACAGAATCATCAACCCATACTTTACTTGTAGTGTGTCCTGCGTTTACCCACGTTTCATCAAGGTAATAAATCTTCCTGTTTTGATTTCTATATTTCCCAATTTTTGTTAAATAATCCCTCCTCCATAGCACAATTTCTTCTTTATCCAGTAGTAAACTATTACGACCCCGTTTTTTCCATTTGAAATTTAAATGCTTCAGTAACGCATGGAAAGTTGATCGTTTGAAATTTGGCAACGTTGTATCTCCATTTACCTCCTGCAGTACTTTATCTATAGTAGGTATTTCATTCCTAAAGAAGAATTCATGCACTTTCCTCCTAATCGCATGCTTATCAGCTTCATCCAATGATTTAACAATACTTTTGCGATGTTTACTGGTCATTGGCTCAGAAAAGGTGTGATTTTTTTTGTATTGTCTTAACACATTAAACACTGATGCGCGACACACCCCAACTTTGTGAGAAACCTTCACAACAATTTCTTTGATGGTTGATGCCTCGTTCTCCGCGCGCTCGATCTTATATATATTCAAAATGACCTCTTTCATTTCTGCACTCAGGTGTCTTTTTTTAGAGCGTTTCCTAGGTGGACTACAGGAGTTTACAACTTCATCGGCAGTATCTGTACTACTGGGCATTTTGCGCAAGCAGTTGATAACAATAACAATCAATAACAAGGTATAACAATAACAACGACAAACTCAACAACTTAATAAGATAACAAACGAAAACGTCCAAAGAAATATCAAATTGCAATGATGCACACGACATACGTAACACGTCTGAACCTGAATGTGACTCTGCCTTGATACGACTGCTCTGCCGCTCGGCATAGGCATTTAATTGCGAATTGACCAATGCGGGCTCCTGTTTTACGTCGAGACGGCGGCGTTAGCGTGAAAATCATCCGAACCTTTTGTTTACATCCGGTCTATCTCTTATCTGAATATACTGTAGTTGGCTAGCTAGTTTCCAAAGGTTGAACAGCATTTAATTAGCCAGTTTTAGATAGAACCATATTTAAAAATTTGTGATAGTAGAATATAAATTTCAAATCAGCTGTGATTAGGACTTTGAGTAAAAGAAATTGAACACACTCATAAATAGTCCATTTGATATAGACATTTTCATCAAAAATACATACAAACTAGGTAACAATGAACAAGAAATTAATTTTTCTGTTAATCTGGTCCTGGACTGTCCACCTTGAACTACCATACTGTTTTCATATCTCAAGAAATTTCCCAACATATCTCACAGCTTCAACTGTCTCCTTTAACATGCCTTTACTACATATACAGAATTTACTTTTTGCTTGGTAGCCATTACCGAATGAAGTGAAAAGGGGAAATTTTATTTCACAGTCTCATGAAAAAATGTTGGGAAAATAGAAGTGGCCGGTTATTACAGTACAATGTCTCTGGCCATAATCCACATTACTTTCTATGTTTAAAGAGAAAAAGATAGTTTGATAATATCCACACATTAAGCTTAATTTATTTTGTAAATTTTGAATATCATATGCATATAGCGTATGTAACAAGAACAGTATTTATACAGGTTGTTATTTAAGTATGTGGCTAAACTACAGTAATTTTAAGATGAAAAGTTCAAATAAACATAGGTCCAGAATAGCTTCCTTTTCAAGATACAGGGTGTTAAACTTTTTTTAAAATCAGTTTTTCCTAAATATCTTGATAAACTTTTAGTAGGTTTTGTTTAAATTTAGCAGTTGTATTAAGGACAGTAAGATGATTTAGATGAAATTATTAAGTCCAGTGGCATCCCGAAAAACACCGTAACCAACATCAACTCAAACAAAACTGACTTTGAGATAATTTACTTGAAGCAGTAATCGTAATTATCTGAAGTCTTTTTAAGAGATTTAAAAAAAATTGACACCTTGTATCTTGAAAATGGAGCATTTCTGGACCTATATTTATATGAACTTTTCATCTTAAAATAACTCTAACGACTACTTGAGTATCATCTCCTGAAATTTGACCACATACTGAACTAATATTGTCAGCTGCCGGTTCTACTTGCCTTTAATGTTTATAGTCTAATCATATTAGCAAATTTCCCCGAAATAATTGTAAAGTGTGGTTTTATCGGTGCAAGTTATTCAAGGGGGTATTTAAAACATGGACGCATAAAATGAGTACACCAATTTTTGCGGGAAAACTTTTTATTTGACAAAATAGAATGAGAAAACGTGTTTTTTGGGATTCAATCGAAAGTGTTAACAGGAAAGGAAAAACTGTTCATACAAGATTTTTAAATATTTATGAGACCTACAAAATGAGACCATACGTAAAAAGATCCGACTAATAGCAAAAAAATCACCTGTCCCGGCCATGACTACTAGTTTATTGAGCAATATACAGGGTTCGTTCAAAGAGCATTTAATAGCAAAACACGCTTGTTTACTTTGCCGATATGAATCATGAACCATTCCGAAAGATAAATGTTATTTTTATACGAAAAACAAAGGTTACGTTTTTTTTCTTTTAAACAGATTCAAACATTTTGTATTTGTGAGTAATTGAACAAATACGCTACGATATTCGAAAAATATACGATACTATACACATTTTAAAACAAAGCGAATGTGTCTATCATGTTTTGTTGCGAATTACTCACAAATACAAAATGTTTGAATCTGTTTAGAAGAAAAAACGTAACCCATCCTGTTTTGCATAAAAATAACATTTATCTTCCGGACTGGTTTGCGATTCATATCGGTAAGGTAAACTAATGTATTTTGCTATAAAATGCCCTTTAAACTAACCCTGTAT